TACACCGTGAGGCCCAGCCATATAGCGAATTTCGCCTGACGCAGCCTCTGCATGAATGTAACTGACGTCATCTGCGTCAGCGCGGAACCGTTGAGCTTCGCCATCACGTTGATCATTCGCCGAGTCTTTTCGTGCGCCTGCTTAGTGCTCTTCGTCGTTGCGCAAAGAACAGCCGCTATGTCTGAATGGCCTCGATTGCTGCCAGCCTGCTGTTTTCTGCTTCACCTGGAACATCTGGCTGAGATTCATTTTCGACATGCACAAGAAGAGACGAGGAATCGTGCCCTGGCCGTCACCAGCCCACCAAAGCTCCGGAAACCGAGATGACACGTTGGGGATCTCCATGTTCGTGCGCCCATGCTGGATGCCCGCTTTCGCTGCCAGTCGATTGAAATAAGCACCCCTGAGCCAGGCAGGGATGAACTATGAGAAGGGCCAGAGCTCGCAAGCGATAATCTTGGCATGATGTTCAACCCTGAGGCAACCAAGAAACAGCGCATGCTGCATCATGAACTTGGTCAAAACTTTTGTCAGACTGGCAACGTCTCGCACACCGGTGTTACCCGACACGCACGGCCTGCACTGTGCTCCGTGGCGCTGGTCTTGCTTCGTCCTGCTGGCTGCGCCGCACCTTTCCGTTGTGGAGAGCCGGCCTTTGTCTGAACATCCGGAGCTCTCGTCTTTGCCTCCTGGTCGCTCCTACCCATTACTACGCCGAGGCCGAGCACGAGAACCTTCATGCCCAGTGCTCTTCTTGCTAACGGTCTTATTGCTCAGAACAAGGCCTAGTGCATCCTCCGCATCCTTGGACTGGACTGCGCCAGCGGTCCGGTTGGCGAACAGGTCTTTGTCGATGTCACCAAGCACCGGTATCACAAGAAATGTTCACTCCCAGCACCTATTGCTCAACAGCAAGCGAAGCTGAAGCGGAAGTGCTGGGTCGGGCTCGGTCTATACTACTAAACACTCACGACTCACGTCAACAGCACAGGGCCGTGCAGGGCCGTCAGGACGCGATCGTTCAACAGATCACAAACGAGGAGGTTGGCGTCACCGTTTGAGGTGATACAAGCACCTCCATTTCCTTAGCGGCGGCCATCCTGATAGTATCGGCTCTGCTGGACCTCGGCTGCGTCGGCAATCCGGAATCCGGTGGCACACTATCTCTCCTGCTGCTCCTGCTCCCCTTCCTCGGCCGTGAGGCACCGGGGCAAACGCGTGTTGCCACCTGATTTACAAAAGCCCTTGCCCTAATATCGCAGTCGCACGATGAAGGCAAACTAACGCATGACCCTTGATCATATTGACAATCCTGCTGCGAGGGTTAAGGTTCTAGCCCAAACCGGGCGGTGTCACGCTCGAACCGAGCGACCTAGCCCTCAAGACGGCGGTGTCACGCTCGAACCGAGCGACGTAGCCCTCACAACCTTAAACCTAAAACTTTACGCCAACCCTAAACCTATACGCATTGCGATCTGGGCCACCCGGCCACGACACTGAAGAGGAAGTCGTCGATGGCGAGAGGAAGTCGGATGAGCCTGCCCTGCCCTGCCCCCTGTGCCCTGTGCCCTGTGCCCTGCCCAGCCGCCCTGCCTGTTGCGCCGCCTTGCCCTGCCCACCCTGCCCTAGCTGCCCTGCCCTGCCCTGCCCTACCCTTCCCCTGCCCTGCCCTGCCCTGCCCGCTCTGCCCTCCTGCCCTGCCCTGCCCTGCCCTGCCCTGCCCTGCCCTGCCCTGCCCTGCCCTGCCCTGCCCTGCCCTGCCCTGCCCTGCCCTGCCCTGCCCTGCCCTCTCACCCTGCTCTGCCCTGCCCTCCCCTGCCCTGCCCTGCCTGCCCTGCCGCCCTCCCCTGCCCTGCCCTCCTGCCCTGCCCGGGCGAATTGTTTGTTGGAAACTCTTGCACAGGCCGTACCCGACTCCAATCCATCTCAGCTGTGCTTTGTTTGCTTTGAAATGGGGCTATTGTATGCCGAAGCGGAGAACAAGAAAGCCCCCCCTTGAGGGGGGTTGGGGGGTGAACCCATCTCCAAAGATATGCACCCACCGCGCATACTCTTACGCAGCCTAAACACTAAACCCTGTGCAAGATTACACGATTACGGCCATGCGCTCCCCCCAAGATTACATGAATGCAAGATTACCATGCACTTCCCCCCAAGCGGAAATCACTGTTCAAGGATTGCAAGTTTTCACGACCGGCAATCTTGCAAACCCCCTGGACGACCAGGTTTTCAAGATTACCAAGATTGTGCACTATCCTGACCCCAGGCAAGCTTGGCAAAATGGGCAAGATTTACCAAGTTTGCAAGTTCAGCAAGTTGGTGCAACACTGATCGGCTCTAAAATCCCAGCACAATGTAGCAGTAGCAGTAGCAGTAGGAGCAGCAGCCACAACGCAGCATCAGCAGGAGCAAGAACAGCAGCAGTAGCAGTAGTGGGAGTCGGAGTCGGAGTAGCCTAGGAGTTGAGTAGAAGTAGGAGGAGTGGGGTAGTAGGAGCAGCAGTAGTCGTCGTCGTAGCTGTAGATTCTGCTACACACAAATCTGCAGCACCTCGGTAAGTTTGCAACAGATACACTGCCAAAGGGGGTTGGTCGGGTCCCTTCAGCCGTGGGAACGGTTTTCCTGCCGAAGCCCCGAACCGCACAGATAGTCTAGGATTTGCAAGGACCGCTGCGTCGACTCGTCTGATTCATCGTGGGTTCTTTACGACCACGATGTGGCCAAACTTGAACCACCAGCATCATCTCATATAGTTCAACAATGCCTTCTCTGCTCCTTCCTTCCGTCTGTCTACTTGTCTAAAGTCCTAAAGCAAAGCAAAGTTCACCAGCCTGCCAGGACACATCAGTGCAAGTCCGCGGCCTGATGTGAGCATCCTTCTCTGCCTGCAGTGCAGTGATGGGCAGTGTCTCGACGATATACGATCGAGATCCCTCTAAAGCTCCAGCTTATCACAATTGAATTCATGTGGCCTGCGTGACGTTTTCATCCACTGGCGGTGTTGGTTCAGGTGGTTCAGGCTCCGCACCTGCACGTGCCTTGGTTCCAAAGATGCCAAAGTCGCCGCTGTCTTGCCGCTTGAAAAAAGAACAGGGCAGCCGACCAATTGTCTGCCACGGCCCTGTGAGCAAAACGGACGAAAGTGCGACGTCTTTTGTGGTCCTGGCCCTGGCACTTCCTACCCTCGCCTTCAGAGGGCTCCGCTCGTCCGGCATGCCGGATCACGCCTCTGCAACCTCTCCGCTCCGCGAAGAACAAACACATGCGGGACCCCCCAAACATGTGTATCGCAGCGCTTGCCCACGAAGCAACAAGATTCGGGGCCTGGGCGTTTTGTGGCCCGTCGAAGCTTTTGATGAAAGCAGCCGCAGCACACATGCGAAAGCTATGAAGAGCTCGCCTAGTAGCTTTCTTTCTCGACACATGTTGTTGCATCTTGCCTCTCTGTGACCGCTGAAGCAGCGAAAGCCACCACAATTAGCAGCTGGTGCAACGAAGCAAAAGGAAGCGAACATGGTAGAGTTCTTCTCGAAGGCAAACGAAAGCTTAAAAGCAGGGCTGCTGGAGTCATGCGCACCACCTTGTGCGGTCTTTCCGCAAAGCTTCCACTATTCTCAGGCCTTCCAACAAGCTGTTGCTTGGTGCTTGCCAGCTTTACTTAGAGCACACCTGGCCTGGTTTGGGAGGATCAAAGACACTGTTGCAAAACATCCTCCTCCTGCTCCTCCTCCACCTCCTTCTTTTTATGCTCCTGCCCCTACTCGTTCGCCTACTGCTACTGCCGCTGCAGCTACAACAACGATAACAACAACAACCCCACCACTCGTGCACCACCACCAACAGCAACGACAACAACGACTACTACTACTCCTTCCACTTTCCATCGCAGCAGATCCCCTATGCCGGTCATAGCAGCCGATGCGAACATCCGAGCGCTGCTGCCGATCGCAGCAGCAGCTCTACTGAATTGGCAGAGGCCCGTCTACCCTATACAAAAGCTGATACGCAGTAATCACAATGCTATCAACAGCACAAGGCGTAATATTGTTATCACACAAGATGTACCTATCCCCATCTCTGAGAAAGGCTGGGAAATGTCCAGCCGTAGGCGAGTCCCCGTGATGACTGAGACCTGCAGCCAGTAGGTACTCATGCCATACCACGTCAGTGGAGTCAACACGGCAAAACTTGGTCACACAAATGGCATTCTTGATCGTCACAGGAGAGTCATAGTTGAAAGTCCCTCCAACCTCATCGACCCCAAAACGTTTGAGCATGATGCGCAAGACCTTAGAGCACTCAACAAATGCATGGACATTGCACTAGTGATGCTATGTTGGGATCATGGCAAGCACACTCAGGCCCCCAATCAAGTCCAGCAGAAGAGCCTCCCAGCTAGTCGAGTTGTCACGTATAGTGCATGTACGGTTGTGTTGACCCAGTATTCTCATCTGTGTCGGAAATGCGTGCCTGCCCACGAAAGAAGACTGTCGGTGGCCTGAAGACAATCCGGGATTGAGATTCGAAAATGCCACACTCCTGCCCGGGATTGGACCAACCCCGTAACCATGTATGCCGTTGTCGTCCTGAAACCACTGCATACGATTGGCCACAATATGGGTCCAGCCTCACTAAATGCCTGATGCTAATCATGACCTGCGTCTCCGGCTGCCAACGTGCATGCTTGCATTGCAGCTTCCACACATAGCCATGGCAGAAGTTGTAACTTTTCACACGAGTGGCCTGGCAGAGTCGCGCAATCATTCGAGTACTTTCTTGACGAAATTGCACCCCCACCAGCTGGAGCACCGCATTGTGCTGGAGTTGCATCATGATCCGATGTACACCCGTCAAGCCCTCGATTTACCACCATCTGTTCCCCCACAACCTCCGTGCACGGAGCTGGCTTCTTGATCAAGCCCTGCGTGTCTCTCCACGGCCCGATTTCCCTATTCCACTTTTGGAAATGTCACCCCGCCTCGCCGGCCCAACTAGAGATCCTAGACATCACCAGAGAAGGCGAGCTTCTTCAACTCCTGTCGCACAGACGTCTAGCTCCAAGATGTGTATGGCGTATGGCACTCTTGGCACCTTCATCTTCGGCGGACTTGGCCAAGGGAAGCCCCACTTCTTCAGGGCCTGGCAAGCGAGCGCTCTTAGGCGCCATCCCACCAGCCTTGGACTTGGCTCACTTGGCTGTTCAGCTCAGAGGCGGCAGTGTCGGTCTTGCTGCATTTGCCATATCCCATGCAGGTGAAGAAAACGACGGAATAACCTTACATAGGGTCGTTGGCTTCGGTCAAAGGGTCATCGCATCCCAACGCTGCAGAGAGCGAGCCTAAATCGCAAGGCGAAAGCGAAGCGAATTGATTCTGGAGGATTCAGTGCCGGCATGCGGCGGACACCTTGGAACGGCTCCACCGAATGTCCTCGAGTTCCATCGAAGACCAGCGTGCGGCGGTAGATGTCGAAGGCCTGAGCCGGCGCTGAACGGCTCGAAGTTACCATTTCCCATCCTTCTTTGCATTGGCACTCGCTGGACTCGCTGGCTGGCGAGGAACCTTCGAGTCCTTCCGCTGCAGCGTTTCGAGCTTGGGCCTCACCGCTGCTTTCGCTTTCGCTGGCTTGCGATCCTCCACAGGCAGCAATGATGGACCTGCGGCTGGCACAGCAGGGGCTCCTTCGGCCAGTACCGAAGAGCTCCACCTTTGAAGTTGCCAAATGCCCGGATGATGGATGGGCCCTCGTTGTTCCCGTCCTCATCTGGAGCATGCCGCCATGCCACGGCCTTCGCCCCTTCGTGCTCGTGTCTGGGTGACTGACACGGTGCAGCACTGCAGCGTAGTTGGCGTTCAGATTGATGGCCGAGCAGACCTCAGTCGCAAGCTTCCGTCGCAGAAGCCCGAGCCGAGGCCCGAGGATGCCCGAGGCGCTGAGGGATCAACAAACTTCCCCTTCACCTCATTGGGCAAATTCTCTTTGAGCCATCTGCATAGGAGACCTTGCGAAGCAAATGTCAACATCCTCTCCGACAGACTTCTTACCGTGGCTGTGGCGGCCAAAGTTCGGATACCGCTTGGTCACCTCGGTGACGCCGATGCCACGGCTCAGCCTCCTGTGGAATGGCAAGCCGCTTAGCCATCTCTTGCGCTGAAGCAGGCCTCCCCCAAGCCCCGTCCTAATGCAGCCTAACGTGTCGGAGTAGGCGTACTTCTGGCCCTTCTGCAGAACGTTGAGGCGCCCTACCGAGAGATTTAAGTAATGCAGACAGGAAGGTAAACTTCTGTCTGCTGGGTGCCTGCATTTTGGCCGAAGCCCCACAAGCTCAACGCTTCCTCGACATCCTTGTGAGTCACCTTCCCTGCGTCAGAAATGGCTAAGTCCAACAACTATAGACCTGATGTCTTCAGTATGCGTCACCACGCACGAGGCTCGTGTCAGCTATTCCAGAATGGAGTGCTAAGCTACGACCAACGAAACCTGAATACGAAAAGCAGTTTGCTTCCATGGACACCGTTTGTCGATACTGCTGGGCTCAGTCTAGACTCAAGCTCCACCCGGCAATGCCCTCCTTGTCATCCTAGAACAGCGGACAAACGGTGCTCAGATCCATGCATCCGAGCGACGCTTTTCTTTCTCCGCTTTCTGGATTTGTCTCTGGCACCAAGCATCACAGACTCGCCTCTCGAATCGGAGGTCCCGGTCCTGCAGATGGCATAGACCAGAGCGCTGCAAAGCTCCACAGGCTGAAACCGGCTCTCCTCTGGGATGTGCATCGCTTCGATCTGCTCTGTGGACTCGGGTTGCAGCTTTAGCTCCCTGGCCACACGCTCGCCTGAGGCCATCGCTCTAAACGACACTACAGTGCCCTTCCAAGGGCCGCGCATTTCTGGAGCTTCTTCGTTCGCCACTCCTCATCCAGCCGATGCTGGGCGGCGGCGCGCTCGTCTCGAATATCAAAAGCCTTGCGGAGGCATCGAAGACCACAAGAAGGTCAAATGGAGCTTCCATCAGCTCGAATCACGAGTGGCCCGGGTCCTCATGGCGTTGACTCGAGTAATTTATTGCAAAGGCCAGGCGACAATACCTCTGGGACCATTGAAGGCACTGAGCTTGTAGATGGCCTGGTGGTTGCGACACCAATCAAACATGCCAAGGGCTAATTCTTGACTAGCTCATGCCTCGTCGAAGGCCTTTTGTCCGATGGCTGCCACCTCTGCTTTCTCTGCGCGCTCGCTTCCGAGGATCGTGAGGTAGCCACGTTGGAGTTCCTAGGTCTGCTTTGTGATGCCGCTTTCCTCTATAACCGAGGGCTATAAGGCAGCCGCCCACAGCAGATCGGCAACTTTGGTTCCGTTCTTGATGCTCTCCTGAGACTGGGCACACAACGAGCTGTTTGAGGAGACGGCCCATGCAAGCAGAGTTTCGCCGATGGTCTTGGACTTCTCATACTTGGCATATCGAGAGAAGCTCTTGGATCCCTTTGTCTTCGGATTGGGAGCGTACTTGATCAGCGTACCTGGGCTTCTTCAGGCCCCTGGTGTTGGCGAGAACCTCCGCCTACCGAGTGCCAAGAAGCCCGGCTTGCAGCTGCCGATCTGCTGATAGACTTCCAGTGGGAACTTCAGGCCTCTGCCACTAAAACTGCCACCCCAACAGAAAGCGCGCCTCCCCGCCGGAGGCCCCCGGCCTTCGCCTCGCTGGCTGCGCTTCGGGACGTACTTGCCAGAGAGGCCCTCGGGGCCCTGGCGAGCAGCGCTGAAATCGGAGATCCTGTGGGCTCGGAGTTTCTTTGGCCTTGGCCGACTTGCCGGCTCCTTCTTTGATCACCTGCAGCTTCATGCCTTTCCCCTTGCACGTAAAAGCAGAACCGACGGATCCCGGCCTTGAGGACGCGCTTCTCCTTCCTGCTCCTGCGCGGAGGGCGAAGCACCGCAGTCTCACCCGAGCAGCTGCGCCGCTGTGCCGATGCGGCCGACTGCAGGCTCCTGCCCATTCTGCTGAGAATCCTTGCGCTACCTTGAACCCGACAACCTACCCGAAAACATGGAGATTCTTGTGCTCAATGTATGACTCTGCTTGTGATGATGCCCTTGAGCCCAGCCGGCGGGTGATATCCTTACATCTTTGCGCTCATGTGCTCGCTTCCCCTGCAACATTGATCTTGAAAGAAACCGTCAGCAGCCTTCCCTGAATGGCGATTTCTCCAGGCACTACGGGCATGTCATGTGTGCTGAAGCACCGAAAACTGTTGCAACTAGGCGACATCGAAAATTTGATCTGTACACTGCCTGGCTTTCAGTCTTGGCATTCGCTAGACTGGCCAACAAAGATGCAACGTCATGACTGAAGGTTAGCATCCCTGCTCACCCACGGTTCCTGAACTGCATCGGCCATCATTGGGCCGATAACTGGAGCCAAGCTACAGAGCCTGCAGCACGGTTTCCGCGGTGACCCACGGGTTCGGCCTCAGCTAAAGAGCTCCGAAGTTGCACTGCCTTGGCCTTCCCTTGCAGGCTAAGGCTCTCCGCCAGCCCCAAAGACTGCACACCGTTCCTGGGATCCGGAGGCAGAAAGCCGTAGAAGGCCGCAGAAGGCGCGCTGCATCTGCCGAGTGGCACTTCGCGAACCTCGCCTGCTTTCAGGCCATGGGCCTGTCACAGGATGCCGCATTGTGCGCGTCCTGCAGTGCTAAAGCACACGCCGCCTCCATCTCCGCCTTTACACCTGCAAGCCCGGCAGTGAAGCTCGGCGCCGGAATGGCGAATGTGCTACCTCAGCCAAGGGGCATAGCCTGAGCTTGAAGCTCAGACTCCTTCGCTCCCGCAGCTCGAAATAACAATCTATCTCCACAGAAACTTGCAAGGACTGTGGAAGAACAGCAATGTCGGCTCAACACGAGAGGTCTTCCGCAAGAGAGTTCGGCTATTCAAGCAAAGCTGTTGCTCTGCTCTTGAGCTGAAATGTGAGATCCTTACATTTCTGTCGGTCCCAACCAAGCCATCTAGCGGATCTGATGCTTCACAGTGCCCATTCTGGGATTCTCAGATGCTGTCACCAAGCCAGGTGCAGCCGTCTTCGAGGAGGCTGTCACAAAGACGTCAGGCTCCTTTAAGGATGGAGCCGTCGGAGCTGCGGTAGATGCGGTAGGCTGCCGCCTTCATGCTGCAAACATGTACAGAAATCCTGACGCTCCTCGCCTTCCTCATTTAATTTGTGCATCCTGTGTTCCTAGCTTGGCCCCGTGCTCTCCGAAGCAGTTCCCAACCAGCGTCCTGAGGCATCGTGGTCGCATCTGGCACATCTGCCACACTGAACTCTGCATCTCCGGCCTCGGCAACGGCGGGCTCGCGAGCCTGAAAGGAAGACTTTTCACCACAAGAGTCCGAGTGGACCCAGAGATGCGCAACTGGAGGCTGGCACTGGCGGCTGGCGCCTCTGCAGGCTTCAGTGCACTTGGCAGGAGTTGGCTGACGAGATCCTCTCAAGAGACGTCTCTCAAGCGTTCAGATTGCTAACGCAGACTAAAGGGGGCATGGAGGGTACGCCATATGCCATAGGGCGTCCTTGAGGCCACTGAGAGGTGGCTCCGGAACCTCAGAGCAAGCGGAGAGAGCGGAAGCGAAAGACCTCGAGAGTCGCCGGGCCCCCGGCGTACTCGCCACCTGTCCGAAAGTCAATCAGATCTCTATCCCCCCGCCCTCTCAGAGCGTCTTCCGCTGAGCCTTGCTGCAAGCTCAGAGTGTCCCAGTAATCACGCTGACGAAGGACCTCAAACGCTGGTGCGCAAGAGAAGAAGAGAAAGAGGTCGAAACTTGGTGTGCGCCCTTGTTCGTCGGATCCATCTGCTCTCGGATTGAATATCATAGCGCCTACCTGTAGACCTTAGTATGAATCAGAGCTCGGAGCCGTGTGCGTCTCCTCTTTGCTTTCTGATGTCGGTGTGACCGTTCTTCCGGTTTTGCCGTTGTTGGTTCATTGATTTCCGTTTTGGCTGTTCCTGAGGAACTGATTTGACTGGCTGCTTTCTCGCATACCCTCCACCAAAGCACTTTTAGCCGTCGAAGCAGCAGATCCTCGTCCTAACCTGGCCACCCCAAACCACTCCAAATGCGAAAGCATAGCGAAAAAAGCACTAACACCCTGAACGGTAGATTGCTTAGGCTTGACTGCTATGGCTGCCCTGAAACAGAGACCAAAGCAACCGGGCGTCCAGACCTTGGCACTTTGCGCGTCGATCTCGTACTCGGACACCTCCCACAGGGCCACAGGGCCATGGCCATGCGATCGCCGAGAGCTAAGGCCCGGGGCCCAGGCCCCGCTGAAAAGGGCCCGAGGCTTCCAGGGCAGCAGCTTGAAAACGAAGCCTCCCGCCCAGCCCCGTGCGGCTGTGGCTGCCTACCCACTAGCTCTTCCGGGGTCCTAGTGTCCAGCGAGTCCTGAGTCGAGTGGGCTGTCCTGGAACCTCCCCGCCGATTGTGCCGCCAGGCGCTGCCGCACTGCCTGGCACATCATTTGCCGCCTCCTCGACACCGTGGAGGTCAATAAAGCCGTCTGAAAAGAGCAGGTTCCTGGGCAGGAGGCCCGAGCTCCGGTGATACCAACAGATCTCGGACATGTGAACCGACTCTTCCCCAATCTACCTAGTTGACTGCTGGAGGCTCCACGATGGCGGAACTTGGGGGCTATGTTTCGGGAGAAGCAGATAGCCCCGACAAACCTGCAAGCGCGCAATCTCCCCCAGGCATCTAAGCTCCTTTTTGGCTACCTAGGCCGACGAAACAACCCACGTTGTGCCTATGCAAGGGTTTTAACTCTTCTGCATTTACTTGATAACGTTCATGCGTGTCAATACACTGCTGAGCAGATGAGATCCACACTCGCAAGTCAATGAGTACTTTACATGTGTTAGGGAGCTCTTTTTGTATTGCTCTACGTTGCTGCACATGGGATGGAATTCAGCAGATGTGTGCCGGGGAAATGGCCCTACAAAGCTGTCTCCCGACAACATCTCCACATTCGCCTTGTAGCTGTCCTGGCACGTTTTGCAGCTGGTCCAACAGTTCATTACGAAGTTTCGAGGTCAGCTGAGCCTTTCCAGCCAGGTTGTTCAGTGGATCCTTGAAGGAGACGTCCTGCAGTGGCACACCGTGGCACACCAAGTCTGGCTGCGCTGCAAGCCAGTAGCAGCTAGCCGCTAGCCGTCCTCATCGTAAAACTCCGCCTGTCTTCAGACACTGACGACAGTGACTGAACTGTGTAGAAGGAAGAGCAGAAGGAACGACGCTTCCCACTCCGGGCCTCGAAGGGTCGAAAGAAGCTTCGGTACTCACGAGCCTGTGGGCGAGCGCACAGGAAAGCGGGTTGTCTCTCGTGCGGATCAGCTGCTTCCAAGACACGAGGCACTCCTTAAGTGCCTGCAATCTCACCACTAAAGGGCAACAGAAAATGCACGGAAAAATGCCAAAGCCTCGCGCTTCTGCTGGAACTCGCATTGCCGAGCCACCCCTTCCACTCACAGAATTTGAGCACTTCAGTCAAACGAGCTGAAACGAGGCTCAGGCCCACTTGGCGGTGTCGGCCGTTGACGTGCCCGGGCCCCGCTACGAAGTTGGCGACGGTCTCGACATGGCAGGGCTTCTCGGCTTCCTTTCTGCAACCCGCTCAGGCCACTGCAGAGGACGAGTGACCGGTTGGCCTGCGCTAGCGCTCGGGGCTTACTGCTACTTGATGCCAAGGAGACATTTCACCACGGTGCCCTGAGCCTCTCCAGGACCACAAGAGCCGCAAGCAGAACCAGCAGCCTGCGTGCTTGGCAAGATCCCCAAGACGGGATGCTTCCAAAGCCCTCGGACGGCTATCGCTGATTGCACGTCCCACGTTTGCTGGCTCCAAGTGCTTGTTACGCACGTTGGGCACAGGCCACATGTGTCTTGGGGATCGCCCAGTCTCTGACTCAGCTTTCTCGAGTCTCAAGGCCACGGCGATGCGAGAACGTCCGGGTCGCCCGAGCAACAGATTTCTCAAAGCTGCAACAAGGACAACGTGACATGTCGCCCAGGGACCCAGGTCTTGCACACATGGCCCAACGACTTCGCACTTCGAGCCGGGTCGGAAGCATGACTTGCAGCTGCATTTCGGCTGCGCTGTGTTCGTCCAATCTTCGTTTCGTGGCCTGGCCTAGGGCCAGACCAGCACCTCGCCATGTCCAGACACAGCGCAGGCACAGACCCCAAAGGTCAACATGATGTCAGCATGATCAGCAACTTGCAGCCATGAACAGACAAGGCATACAGTGCAGTTGTGCGCATACGTCACTCGCGGACCCGGAGACCAAAGAGGGATGAGGTGGAAAGCTCTGCTGCACCTACGCCAGAATGTGCAATAAGCGCAGGCCTCACCGCACGACGGCCCATGTGCACCTGCCGCCGATGCCATCAATACAAGAGTGAGCACTAAGCTCGCTGCGGGTACCTTTGCAGCACAGCTGCGGTACGGCCACCAGAGACTCTCGGCCACGATGCAAGAGAGACTTACGAGCTTACGATGGTTTCTGCCTGAGTACAACACGAGCATTGGTGGAATAGCAAACTGCAATATGTTGCATGCCTATTTTGCTTCGAGCTGACCACAAGCCAGAAGCGTTCGTGCCCTTTGCTTACAGTGCCCCATGTACAAAGCCGGGGGCCACAAAAAGCATTGCAGATTGAATCGCAATAGCCAAACCTCGCGAAAGGGCACTCGAACTCAAGCGCTTCTTTCCTCATGGTGTCAAGCATCCAAGCTTCCCTTGGGCAATTCGTTAACTAGAGCCACTGGTCACTGGAGACTGGCCGCGCGTAACTGTAGAGGCCGCAGCGCTGTGCCCACATCGGCCGTCAACCAGTCGGACGAGTACGATAGCACAACTACTTCTGGCTCACTGAAGCGCGCTTGCCTCAGGCATGACTAAACTCACGCTCTTCGATTTACAGTCTCTTCACTGTTTCACAGTCTCAGTCAAGGACACTTTGAAGACCAAGCAGATCGAAAGAGGCCTTGAACTGGAAAACAAGCGGGGCTGAAAACAGTTTTGAAGACCCGGTTGGAGGCACGTGCCTGGCAAGCCGGATCATCTGGCATTTTGCCTAGCCAGCAATAGCAAACAAAGCCTGTTCAAAAAGAGATAATCCTCCCGAAGAAAGCCTTGGGGTCCTTAGGGGAAGTGAGAGTGAGGACGGGAAGGAGGAGGAGGAGGAGGGGGCTTTAGGCCCCCCAGGTGGAGAGGCGCCTTCGGCCTCGAATCGAGACGACTCCTCGGACCTGGGAGAGTTTTGGGAACATCAAGGGACGAGACTTCAATGAAACTCCGCAGAGGCTGCAGTGACGGACAGCCCGGCTCTTCTCTTTTCTTTGCACCCACTTTGAAACAGAAACGTCCTCGTGGCAGCACGTCTTGGAATCAGCATGTCTCATAGTGCCTCGCCGGCACGATTCGAGAGTGCGCTCCATGTCTTTGGGGTACGCTTCGCATCAACAGCTCAGAGGCAAAGACGCTCTCAGCCTCAGACTCTTTCAATTCAGTGACGTCGCGATGCAGTGGACATCTTTCAGGTACCCGTCGACAGGCTTGGTGTAGGCGCCCTTGTCCTCAGCGGCCACGGTCTCGTTTGCAACGCTCTACAGTACCACTACGTTCTCGCTTTGTGCCTACTTCGGGATTTCGGGATAGCTGTCTCGATTGGAATCAAGCTCCACTAGCTGCACTAACTTTACTGGCTTTCTTGCTGAGCTTGTGCATGCAAGTAACAGATCACAGGCTTGTATTTCTGCCACTGAGTGTCGGAGTTGCCCCAGCAAACCACACTACCGTCTGAACGGATTGCCAGGAAGGCACCCGATGAAGCCTCAATCTGCTGTACGTCTCGCAGCTTCTCCTGAAGAGAGATCTGCGTGGGCCCAGACCGGACCACAACAGTAGCATGAAGCTATGCACCGAACGCTAGCATTGTCCTTGATTGATGGTGATTGGCTGTCGCCGCCCTCCACCGGATTGCCCCAAGTAACCTCAAATGATCACAACATCGCACAATTTCCAACATCGAAGATCATGAGGGACCAGTCTTTACATCCCAAGGCCACCACCACCTGGCCATCGCTTTTCAAAGCTGCAAAGGCGAACTCCGTTGCTTTGATCAGGTTGACATGATTAAGCTGTGGGCTGATCTGCAGGCTCACTGTGCCTCCGTACTGCCTTAGATCCAGCTCCACACACTGCTTGCCTACAAAATGTTACCGCCTATAGTGCCTCTACAACATAATTTGGGCATGTCACTCGTGGCCCCAGACGACCACTGTGTTATCTGCCTTCAGCGCCGCAAAGGCAGCTCGAGATGCGGTGATGCTCTGCACTTGGATCAGCTGATCCCTCACAGAGGAGCAGTCGCCACCAAATTGTCTGTCACCCCATGCCACCACCCGCCCATCGCTGCGAATGGCAGCAAAGGCGGCGCTCGATGCTTCGATAGAAACAACATCAACCAGCTGAGCTTGCATCTCACCTGGGCTGCCCCCACTATCGTCCTTGCCCCAGCAAACCACACTGCTGTCGGCACGGATGGCAGCGAAAGCAAAATCATTTCCGACGATCGATCGGACACCCTGCAGCTCCTTCTGCACGGCCCTACAATCACCTCCATAGCGGCGGTCACCCCAGGTCTCCACAAGTCCGTCTTGGCATATGGCTGCCAAAGCGAAAGCTGTTGCTGAAATCGAGCTCACCTCGAGCAACCTTTGCGACACAGAGTTGCTATCCGCTCCGGCTGCTGTGTCACCCCATGTGACGACCCTTCCATCAGTGCGTAAGGCTGCAAATGCGCTCTGCGATGCTTGCAGGCTTGTGACGTCTTGCAGATGTGAGCTGGGTCCGCCTCGACCTCCTCGAAGAGGATCACCCCATGTGACGACCTGTCCATCCCTTCGCAAAGCTGCAAAAGCTCTCGAGGTCGCCTTGATCGTCTGCACTTTCGTCAAATTCTGGTAAACAGAGCTGCTGTCACCACCGGACTGGGCATCCCCCCAAGTCACCACTGTTCCATCTCCACGAACAAGGGCGAAGGCTGCATTGCGCCGACTGCAACCCACAGGTACCTGCCTCACCGTGGCGTTGAGCATCGCGCCATCCCGAACTCCAGCCTGCTGCAGCGTTGCCTCCTGGCAATCCACTTTTCCGCACTGTCGACATCTACACAGCAGACCCCGGCTGCCCGGCTCAGTCCTCCTCAAGCGGAGTTGTGTTTGGCGCACCTTGCATCTGCAACACGAGGCCGCCAATTGGGGTCTTCAGTTCTTTCGAAGCTCTTGTTCGAAGATCGTGAACCTTGGTGTCTGTTGGTGTCTAGAAAGAAGTCTAGATGCTCCTTGAGACAGAGACGGAGGTTCCTGACTGCAGCCGAAGGCACCCAGGACCCTGGTTCAGCTTTCAACTTTGCACTCCGGCCGCTCATCAACGACACGGTCACTGTCATCGCCATGATGGCAACGAGAGCAAGTAGCGACTACGATCTACTTTCAGCTTGATCTTTCTACACGGCTTCCGTACTTTGGACGACTGCATCGAGCTTCTGGGTCACAAAAGAGCTGCCATTGGGAATCATTGAGCCATGTCACCGGTCGGACGTGTCAGGATAAAAAACAATCCAGGATCAAATGCGAACGTCGCAACACTCTCTCACTGTGACACTCCTGCATATTCTGTTGGGCATCGCGCATGCCACTCGCATTGGTGGAAACGTCAGCAACATCTCGACTAAAGCTCGTTTTGCAGAAGCCTTTCGATGGAGGGATTTCGACCGGTGCAAGGCGAGCATGAAGAAACAGCAAGCTGCAATGACCTGGAGGTAGCTTCGAATGTCCGCCGGCGAGCTGCCGAGGAGTCTCCTCCAAGTTCAGGACATGTTGCTTCGCAAGTTTCACAAGACATCACGGTCTCCTCGGCACACCCCGCTCCATCACCGTCGACGCCGCAGTTTTCTAAGATCTGGTCAACCCTCAATCGAGGCATCTGTCCGGATTTCAACACAAGAGAAGTGCTCACGACCACGCTAAGAAAGCCGCTGCGGCGCAGCAAAGGGTCGCAGCCTGTCCAGTTGGAAGCAATCGGGCTCGGGATGGTGTGTTCCGTGCCATTGGAAGCTTCATTTACTTCATTTGCCCCAGCAAAAGCAACCCTCCCCCGAGCCTTTCCAGCGGAAGATCCGCCAGCTTCGACGGGGAGCTGCCCTGCAGTCTCTCAAAGCTTCTGTGCCTTCTCTGCTCTCTGAGCCGCTCCTCTGCCGCTGCGGCTTCCGCCGCGCGCTGCCGCGCGGCTGCGAGCGCCGCGCCGGCGCAGCGCCGGCGCTCGCAGCGGGGCATCTCCTCGAGCAGCTCCTTGCATGGCGCGGCAGAGTGTGGCTGCAAGGCCACAAGGCTCAATGTGCGCCCTGGGGCGACACCTGCGGCGGTGTCAACATCGCGGTGCCGAGCAGCGCCGCCGCTTCACCAGCACTAGGCCGGGCCTCCGGCGCCTCCACGCAAGTCAACCTCTCGTGCAGGTCTCATTGGCGGTGGCCCTCCTCGGCCAGAAGCCATTGCAGCAGCAGCCAGAGCCGGGCCACAGCAGAATCCAGGAGCCTGCTGCATTGCGACAATCCGTTCCTACAAGGTCGGGGAACTGCTGACAAGCCCACCGCTCCGGCGCTAGAGCAAAGAAAGCGTCGCCTATCAGCTGCGAAGCTTCAAAGCAAACACACGTCAGCTGCACATACACCTGGCTTTGCCGCACAAAGCGTAGCCAAGACCAAGGAGGCCAGGAGCCACACATCCGCCTGCGAGCCCCAGAGCGAAACGGCCTCTGTGTGCTTCGGAATTTTCACCGGACCTCGGGCTTGAGTGCATCATCGGTGCCTCAGCGCCGACTCCCCCCAAACTCTGCATGGAGTTTGTAGGAACCTCCATGGCTGAGAGCGTTGCCACCACGGGCCTTAATTGCACGTCGCTACAACATGCCCAAGGAGGAATCTGCCAGTCCCAGCCTCAGGGGGTGCCTCACATGGTTTCGCCCCGCTGCGGCTGCGCCACTCCGAAGCCGCAACGGGCCTGCATGAAGCGACTCCGAGCCATTTCCTCAGCCAATCCCACCAGTTGCACCAAGGAGCAGGGCTGCTGCACGCGAAAAGTCCCCGAGCTTCCAGAGTCCATCCAGCGAACCTGCCGCTCCAAAGCTTCGACCGAGCCTTTCGACCGAGGCTTCCTGCAGATGACACGCTGACGCACACGAACCTCGGAGCACTCCACTTGCAGCAAGGCTGCCATACCTCCATAAAGAGAGGCGTTCATGCTACGACTACGTTCTCTCAAACTTACTCGGCCCCTTCCTTGCACTCGATCGTTCAACTTTGGATGATAGATGGCATGAGGGTTGACCAACCCCAAACACCCAGAGCTAGAAACAGGCAGGCTGACAGGCTGAGCCTAGGCCCTAAGCCTAAGCCACTGATTTCAACAGAGGTTCCCCAGCTGTTACCGTCCGAGCCACAGCATGCCAAGGCTATGAAGATGGGAGAGTCCCATTGCCAGCTGCTGGCCAAGATCCTGAGATCTCTGTGACGCTTCCGATGTCGGGAAAAAGTTGAAGCTCGTCTCTTCATTCTCTTCTCTTCCCGGTCCGATTCCCTCCCACAAGCACCTCTCATCTGGCCAAGCGTCAGCCAGCTCACCAGCCAGAAGAGTGCCACCTCAGAAGAGGCGCAAAATGGCCCCTTGATGGGGAGGAGCTGACAGCCTTCGTTCTCAGGCAAGCACCCTTGGATGCCACATGCTGCGACAAGTCCGAAGCACACGGCTCACAAAGAAGAAGCTGGCAGTGCGCAGCACCTTGGAGAGAGTGAGATAGAGAGAGAGCGAAAGAGAGAGCGAAAACGACAATAAAACTGATATCCGAGCTTGCTCTGCGCGGTATGCGTGAGAGGCGGGCCACTCTTGCTCTGCGCCATGCACTAGGCCGCAAACCAACGTTTTGCACCAGAATCCCGTGGCATCGCACGATGTTCGGGTGCTTGCCTGGCAATCAAAGCAGCTGCGACACAGGACTTAAACTCAGGCGTCCGTCACACCGGCCTGCTCGCTCGGAGAGCTCAGCCTCCCGCTGCACTGACTCCAAGGCCTGCAAACTCCAGTTGCCCCGCGGCCGCGATCACACGGTGGTGACGGATCACAAAAAGAAATTAGGATCAAAAACATTAAACCACAAAGATCAAAAAACAAATCAAAAATAGGATCAGAAAAACTAAACCAGTACTTTTGCAGCACGGCTACAGACAAACGTGAGGGGGAGGGATCAAAAAATAATTGTATCGACAAATGTTTCTGAAATGCTTAGACTTGTCCTGGTAGTCTTGTAGTATTTACATAGGAAAAATGGAATTTGCTTTGTTTCATAGGAAAACCTGTATTCTTTCCATCTTTTAATAGCAAATAAGCCTCGATTGTCGGTGCCGGGGTCACGTAGGCACCAAAAACCAGGGTCACTTAGCCACTGCGAGTCCGCACCTTTTTGGGTCTCGAAACAAATTTCGGTGTCACTTGGCAACCGGATGCAACTTTAGGGCTCAGGCTTTAAGCTTCAAACCTCTTCGGATGCATCCTATATCTTAAACATGCCCCCTCATTTGGCGATTCCCGTTCTTCATATATCTTAGACACGCCCCTTATTTGGCGATTCCGGTTCGACATATATATCTTAGTCTGAAATATTGCACCCTCGTTTCGCGACTCGGATTCGTCATATATCTTAAACACGCCCCCTCATTTGGCGATACCGGTTCATCATGTACATCAAACATCCCCCCTCATCTGGCGACTCCGGTTGACCATGTACATTCAACACGCCCCCTTATTTGGCGGAATCACCATGTCTCTACAACACTGCCCCCTCGCTTGGCGATTCCGGCTCAGCAGACTTCTACAACACACCCTCTCATTTGGCGACTCCGGTTCACATCATATATCTTAAACACGCGCCCTCATTTGGCGATTCCGGCTCATCCTATATCTGAAACACGCGCCTACATTTGGCGATTCCGGTTCAGCATGTATCTACAACACACCCCCTCATTTGGCGATTCCGCTTCACCGTACATCTACAACACGCCGCCGGGCGCCGCCTCATTTGGCGATTCCGGTTTCTCATGTATCTTAAACACACGCCCTCACTTGGCGTTTCCTGTTCATAATAGTTCTTAAGCACGTCCCTTCATTTGGCGATTCCGGTTCCTCATATAACATAAACACGTGCCCTCCTTTGGCGATTCCGGCTCATCCTATGTCGTAAACACGCGCCCTCATTTGGCGATTCCGTTTTAGCATATATCTACAACACGCCCCCTCATGTGGCGATTCCGGTTCATCATACATCTACAACACGCCGCCGGACGCAGCGTCATTTGGCGATGCCGGTTCATCATTTATCTTAAACACGCGCCCTCATTTGGCGATTCGGGCTCATCCTATATCTGAAAAATGCGCCCTCCATTGGCGATTCTGGATTCATCATATATATATATATATATATATATATATATATTAATATTAACACGCCGCCTCATTTTGGCGATTCCGGTTCTTCATATATCTGAAACACGCCCCTTCATTTCGTATCTACAACACGTCCCAAACACAATGATCGCATGATGGTTTCAAAAAAGGAAACTCATGTAGATTGAAGCAAGCTTGCACGGCTGAAAACACGCGATGTTGGGAGGGGGGCGGGGGGGGGGGGATGAATTGAAGCTAGCTTGCACGGCTTAAAACAGCGGGAGATTTGGGGGGGCAGCCCCCCCCCGTTTGCAAACACTAGCACGAATGATGGGTCTCAAAAAGAAACATATGCTTGAAGAGGGGGGGGGGGGGGTGGGGGGGGCACAAACAATGCTCGCATGATGGGTTTCGAAAACACTGCTTTGAAGCACGCTTGCACCGCTCAATTAAACCGCGGGTAGAGATCCTTCCGCTATTTCTTCCGTCCTTCCTTTCTCTGATTCCTTCCTTCCTTCCGATTTGTCTTCCTTCCTAGTAGTAGTAGTAGTAGTAGTCGTCGTCGTCGTCGTAGTAGTAGTAGTTGTTGTTGTAGTCGTAGTAGTAGCAATGGTAGTGGTAGTGGTAGTGGTAGTGGTAGTGGTAGTGGTCGTGGTCGTGGTCGTGGTCGTGGTCGTGGTCGTGGTCGTGGTCGTGGTCGTGGTCGTGGTAGTGGTAGTGGTAGTGGTAGTGGTAGTGGTAGTGGTAGCGGTAGTGGCAGCGGTAGTCGCAGCGGCAGCGGCAGCGGCAGCGGCAGTGGTCGTGGTCGTGGTCGTGGTCGTGGTAGTGGTAGGTGGTAGTGGTAGGTGGTGGTGGTAGTGGTGGTGGTATTGGTGGTGGTAGTGGTGGTGGTAGTGGTGGTGGTAGTGGTGGTGGTAGTGGTGGTGGTAGTGGTGGTGGTAGTGGTAGTGGTAGTGGTAGTGGTAGTGGTAGTGGTAGTGGTAGTGGTGGTAGTGGTAGTGGGTAGTGGTAGTGGTAGTGGTAGTGGTAGTGGTAGTGTAGTAGTGGTAGTGGTAGTGGTAGTGGTAGTGGTAGTGGTAGTGGTAGTGGGTTGGTGGTGGTAGTGGTGGTGGTGGTGGTGGTGGTGGTGGTGGTGGTGGTGGTGGTGGTGGTGGGTGGTAGTGGGTAGTGGTAGTGGTAGGGTAGTAGTGGTAGTGGTAGTAGTGGTAGTGGTAGTGGTAGGGTAGTGTAGTGGTAGTGGTAGTAGTGGTAGTGGTAGTGGTAGTGGTCGTGGTAGTGGTAGTGGTCGTGGTGGTGGTGGTGGTGGTGGGTGTGGTGGTGGTGTTGGTGGTGTGTGGTTGTGTGGGTGTGTGGGGGTGTGGGGTGTGGTGGGGTGTGGTGTGGTGTGGTGGTGTGTGGTGGGGTGTGGTGGGGTGTGGTGGGGTGTGGTGGTGGTGGTGGTGGTGGTGGTGGTGGTGGTGGTGGTGGTGGTGGTGGTGGTGGTGGTGGTGGTGGTGGTCGTGGTCGTGGTCGTGGTAGCGGTAGCGGTAGCGGTAGTGGTAGCGGTAGCGGTAGCGGTAGCGGTAGCGGTAGCGGTAGCGGTAGCGGTAGTGGTAGTGGTAGTGGTATAGTGGTAGTGGTAGTGGTAGTGGTAGTGGTCGTCGTCGTCGCGGTGGTGGTAGTAGTAGTTTTTGTTGTTGTTGTAGCAAGAAAAGCAGCAGTAGCAGTAGCAGTAGCAGCAGCAGTAGCAGCAGCAGTAGCAGTAGCAGTAGCAGTGGCATTTTCATTGGCAGTGGCAGTGGCAGTGGCAGTGGCAGTAGCAGCAGCAGCAGCAGCAGCAGCAGGAGGAGGAGGAGGAGTAGCAGTAGTAGTAGTAGTAGTGGTAGCAGTAGTATCGGTAGGAGCGGTAGTAGTACTAGTATTGGTAGTAGTAGCCGTTGTTGTTGCACTATTTTGCATTCCCCTTGCTGCCTTCTGCCTTCTGTGCCTTCCATTTTTCCTCTGTGCCTTCTTGCTTTCTTCTCGGTTTTGTCTTCCCTTCATTCCTTTGCCATTTCCTCTCTTACTTGCTTTCTGTGTTCCTTCTTATCCTTCTTTGCTTTCCGTCTTTCCGTCTTTTATGTCAATTTCCTTTCCGTTTCTTTCTTCTTTCCCTGCTGCTTTCCTTCGTTGCTTCCTTCCTTCGCTTCTGTGTTCTTTTCTTCCTTTCTTTCTTTCTTCCTTCGTGGCTTCTGTCTTTCCTTTCTGCGTTCCTTGCTTCCTTCCTGCGTTTGTCTTCCTTCCTGCTTACCTTCCTTCCGTGCTTTGTCCTTCCTTCCTTCATTCCTTCCTTCTTGTTTTTCTTCCTGCGTTCCTTCCCTCATTCCTTCCTTCCTTCCTTCCGTGCTTCCTTTCGCCCTTCCTTTCTTCCTTCCGTGCTTTCTGCCTCCCTTCCTTTCTTTCTTCCTTCCTGCGTTCCTTCCTTCCTTTCTTCCTTCCTTCCCGCATTCCCGGCTTCTTTCTTTCCTTCTTGCCTTCCTTTCTTCCTAACTTCTTTCCTCCCTCCCTTCCTTCATTTCTTTATTTCTTTCTTCCCTCCTTTCCTCTTTGTTGCTGTGTTTTAGTTATTTGTTGATCCTAATTTAATTTTTGTTGATCCCTATCCCGATCTCCGTCCGTCTCCTTTGACCGTCGCCTCTAGGGACACGTGGCCGGAGACTGCGGCAGGCCGGGCAACCAGCCGTCGCAGATCGTATTCTGAGCCTTGGCGGGAGGCGGTAGCCCAAAGAAGCGACCCAACCAAGGCAGCCCTTGAAGCCTTGCCTGAGACACTGCAGCGCGCACGGCCACGAGGGCCGCGGGACTCCTTTCCACTGGGTCTTCCGAGTGCCACAACTCATGACCTGATCCCGGTCTCGTCCGGTCCGGTCCTCCCGGACCCGAATTGATCCTTCAGAGGTGCCAAAGCGCAGCTCGCTGCCAAACCAGGACCTGAAGCAACACAGCGAGTTGCAGACAGGAAGCTCCAATTCACCAATGCAAGCAGGGCTCCATGGGGTTTCGGTCCAGGAATCTCTCGACATAGCGTCAGGACGAGGATGTTAATTCTCCACTTGTCTGGAAACGCTCGGTATCTGTGCCCAATGCATCTAAGAACAACTCACAACCAAGAACCAAACTCTGGATTTTCAACACCTGACTATCCAAATCATGAAGTGGCTTGCAGAAAGCCTTTGCGATGGAGCGGCAACACAGCGTTGCAAAAAGCTGACAATAACCCCTCCCGAGCACTGACCATCTTCGCTTGCACAGAAAAGCTTGGTAAGGTCTCGAAGCATGCGTTGTCTGATCTTCCAATCTAACTCAACTCCTAGATCCTCCGTTGCAACCAGGAAGAAGTCGGGAAACCGGGCTCACATAGCCCCTACGAGCACAGCCGCAAGCGGCCAGCGACACACGCGCTGAACTGTTGATGTTCGTTGCTTCTAGCCCACTTCTCTGCTGCGAGGGTCACCGAACTGCTGAGCGCATGACAGTGTTTAAACCTTGCAAAGGTTCCCAACCTGCGTCGGGAACTCTGTGCCCGCTCAGACTCGCTCTGAGCCGCAGAGAGTCCCGTTGGAAGCCGCCAAGGTGAAACAAAACAAGCTGGCTCAGTAGGGCCCGGCTAGAAAAGTGCCGACGTGGTCGGACCCATGGGTTTTGGCAGCGACGAAAGGCGCCTCGGCACAACAGCCCGAAGCGGTATGAGCATGACACATTGGGTGAGTCCGCGCCACTACTCTCATGCTGACAGGGTCCCGCGCTCCACTTCCATCAAGTCCGGAACAGAAGCCTTGGACCCAGAAAAAAAAAGACCGCACACTGGAGCTGTCCGGCCAAGTCTTTGATGCAACCATGCCACCCTCCCTGGAACCTCACAGGCTTGAAGCCATCCATATGAACAGCTTGTCATGTGTCAACTGGGGAAGGGAAGGATGGGCCACGACACTTGTCCCAGCCTGGCTCGGCAGTGGCGAACCCTCCGAGGGCACAGTCGCCCTCAGCAAGGACAAAGGTGATCTGCCAAAGCTCTTGGAATTTGGGGGCGCGGGCAATGCATCGCCGTCTGGTACCTCGCGCAGGGAGCTTGGAGCTTTGGGTGACACCAAACACTAAATCCATCTAAATCCGCTAAGCCGCCCCGTAGCCGTGGGATGGGACCCCACCCAGCAGCCGGCACTGTCCGGACCGAGGCACAGCTCCCACCTGAGAAAAAGGAAATGGAAGGAGAAAGGTCAGGAATCTCAGGGAAATAAGACACCTTGGCGCGGATCATGCCAATTGCATGGCTGACCGCTGCCTCCTTTTCAGACAAATCAGCCATTGTAGACCTTGGCCGTGGCGACGGCTCTTGATGCAAACAAAAGAATACTTCAAACTTGCATAAGGGTGGTGCTGGTCGATTTTTGTTTCCTGCTGCCTCATGTCTTTCATGATCTGGAGCAGCTTCTCTTTCACCTCCAACAGAAACCTTGAGAGATCCGTGATCGAGCATGTCAGAGGCCACAGAAATGCTCACATGCACTTGGCAAGAACTGGTGTCGAGCGGCTCCTGGATCCTCCGCAGGGCCTCGTCCGGCAGTGAGTGGATCTTGTAGCGGACCTGAGGCGAAAGAGAGGCACAGAGAGAGAGAGAGAGAAGAGAGAGAGAGAGAGAGAGGCACAGACAGAGAGAGAGAGAGAGAGAAGAGAGAGAGAGAGGCACAGACAGAGAGAGAGAGAGGGAGCAAGAGAGAGAGGCAGAAAGGGGAACTGTGGCCTGGTAAACCACATCATCGATGAGAATCTTGCTGTCCTGGACAGATGGGTCGTCTCATGTGCCAGCATGCGCGGCAATCTTGCACGGCTCCTCGGGGGGCATTCCTGGTCGGCTAACCCACGCGAAGACATCGGCCGTATCTTGCGCGTTGGCCACATTTAACCTGGCAAAGCTGCAGCTGCGGCAGCGGCAGTCTGAGGCTGCAGCGCGCTCCTCACATTGTACACTGGCACCATCTCCTTCAGGGCCTCGAACATGTTCATCGCCGAAGCCCTCAAAGCTGCGCCACTGCGCTGCCAGGATGTAAAATCTCGCGGATGCCGTGAGGCACCGGCCCACCACTGCCCAGACGACCTGATCTCGAAGTGGTGATGATCGGATTGTCGAACTCAGCGGCCTGAAGTTCGGAAGGAGAGGTCGACTTGGCTCGACTTCAGAAGGAGAGCGACAGAGCCGGCGGGGCCCCGGCGCAGTGGAAAGAGGCGATCAGGCCCAGGCCTCCAAGGCCTCCTGTGACCTCAGAGAGATGCGATGGAGGACGGAGCAAAAGCCTCGGAGCTTCCCGCTCCTTGCTTCGGTCTCTGTGGGCCCCGGCCATCATCTTGCCTAGAGCGCCTGAAGCCTACAAGCCGCTCTGTCCTAAGCCCCTCTCCCTGAGCCCAGTCGAGGCAAACGACTCAAACCAGACTGAAATCTCAAATTTGACCTCGAAAGGCTTTTGACAGCCTAGCACCGCAGCAAATCGATGGACCACAGTCGAACTGCCGGCTTGGACGATGCTCGACGGTCACACTGTAGCTCTTGAGGGCTTGGTGGCGTTCGCCTGTGATCTGGATCCTACATCTACATCACATCGGACGGACCGATCTGCAAAGCGCTAGTGCCACAGCAAGCTCAAACAGCTTGCCTCACCATGCCTCACCAACCTCTGACGACAATGCCTACATTCGTCTAGCAATACCTCCACTCTACAAATCCAGCTTTGCTGGAGCCTCAAGGCACAACTTTGCAGCAAGCTGGTCTCATTCTCGCAGATCACGGAGGTCAACCACTTCGCTCTCTTGGTGAGAGACCGGCCTGTTGTTCGGTGAAGCCACATTTGCCATAGATGCTTCGCTCTCTGCACAGGCACCTTGAAGTTTCAGAGTACTCCATCTCAGCACCTGAATTTCTGGTACCGTTCGCTGACACATCTTCCCTGCACATTGCTCAAAGCGCGATTCCCAGCGCAGGTCACTTGGGACTTTGGCATGCCGCTGGACTTTGGGCCATCGCTGTCAGCTCCTGGGCTCCAAGAAAGCTATCTGCTCCAGTTCCTGCACGTGCCTCCGCTCGTATCAGCAAAGCCGCAACTTCCTGGCTCGGCCTCAAATCACAGCAACGTCGCATTGTAACAAGTCCGACGGCCGGTCATGCGCACGAAGGGAGTCCTAGAGTGACAGCAGCCTCAAAGCGGGATGACACGCTCAGAGCTATCAGATCAGCTGATCTGGTTCTCCATAAAAAACCAAGCCGCGGAGCAGCACCTGGGAAACGGACGGGGTTAGCTGCCTAACAGCTGTACTAAGACGAACCTGCCACGCCGACAAACGAGACAAGGATGTAGGGATCATGAGCGGCAGGGTACCCAACTCCCGCGCCAGCTCTCGCGCATCAGCAGCGGCCATGCTGGCACGGGCCAGGCTCTTCCGGTATCTCGGGATGCAAAGCGAGCTCAGGGGCGGCTTCAACAGAAAAAGCCTTGCCACATTAACCAACTTCTGTACCGGATGGACATGCTTGAGTCGGGTGCTAAACGAAGCCTTGCGCCGTTGCCTACGCGTCTGTCCGAGCCGCCTTACAACCGAGGAGTAGAGCCGTGGTTGCACCTTCGGCCTCGGCGGCCATAGGGCCAGACCAGAAAAGGGCAGCCAACTTGACTTAGACTCAGAACCGGACGGCTCTTCAGGCCTTCACGATGTGATGCATCTACATCGTAAAACTCTGTGCAGAAGATGCCATTAGCCATTGTTAGCCGAGGCACGGGGGTTGCGATGTGTCTTCTGGAGTCTCTGCAAGAGCTTGCTTCCGCAGCTTCAGGAGGCGCAGAACGGGAGCCAAACTGCCAGACCTGCACTCCCCCAGGTCCCCAGTCCGCTTTTGTCTCGCCTTGCCGTCTCGCTAAATTCGCCAGAGCCACTCGCCGCTTGGTCCAGCCACAAGCAGAAGCGCAGAAAAGAAGACCAGAGAGGTCACCACGGAGACGCTAATGACGAAGCAGATCACGATCCTGCATCGCCGGGCTTTCGTTTTGTGACTTCATACCGTAAAGACTCAGCCGAGGCTCCCAAATTTGATGAGAAACAAACCTCGGACACGAGATGCAACATCAGCGTTGGCAGCAAGCGTTATGCTAGCGACCTAACGACGTGTTAGCCAAAACTCCTACTAAAGTGCGGTAGCTCCTTGTGATCTAATCGCAGGAACTGCGCCCGGCCGAGCACACCGCCCCTGAACCGGTGCCGGTGCCGGGGTGCGCACTTCTGCGCCCACCCCAGGACAACCGCCCGGTGGGACGGGTGTCGGCCGTCTATAGTCGACAATGAAACCACACGGGGTGGTGAGGGCGGGAAGTCGAAAAGGCGATCGACCCAAGATTCTTCGGTCGATCGCTGACGGTTGTTCCTACTCACACACGTGAGTGGCGGCCGAGCACACCGCCCCTGAACCGGTGCCGGTGCCGAGGTCCGCACTTCTGCGCCCGCCTGGCGCACCCACCTCCCACAAGGCGCCGGCACTCCTACCAGCTCCGAATGGCAAGGTCAAGCAGCCGCTCAGGAGCCACGTGGCAGGCGAAGTCGATGTCGGTCGCCGCTGCCGAGGGCATCCGATAGAATTCCGGGCACCACGCCCGGTCAGCCGCCAGGCCGCAGAAGGACGCCAAGATGCCGTTCACGGCCGGGTCGCGCCCATAAGCCATCAAAGAAGGGCGAACTGGCCCGCGACGTTGTCGATAAAGGCCAGCCAGTGCGGCGGGAGGCGGCGGGCGAAAGTGATCACGGGCAGCACTTGTGCCAGGATCTCCGGGACGTAGATAAACGCCCGCCAGGAGGCGAAGGGCTTGAGGTGCTCCGCCTTGCTAGCGCCGACAGAGGGTTCTCTGTCGCCTGTGTGGGGGAGGTGGCCTCGACCCCGTCGTCGTCCTCAGCCTCACCGCCAAGCTGCCACACATGCCGGGCATCTTGCATTCGCCCAGACTCCATTACCTCGGTTGCCCAACTCCCAGCCTCTGGCCCTCACCTCGTCCTGCAATACGGTGTCCCTGCCCCTGCTGAGGCGGTTCGTGACGATGAAGTGGTGGCAATCACCACACGATTGCCAGCTGCACACTGCACACCATCTGTAAGGCAAGCTTTTAGCCCTCACGCCAATGTCCTCCTCAAAAGTCGTAGAAGAACTGCTGCCCAGCAGCAGCACAGCCGTTCTGCCACCGAGCGGCTCGGGGCACCTGATCCCCGGCTGCAGGTGGCCGGCCTTCTTCCGCAGGTTGACCTCCAGGAAAAAGGCGTCAGGGCAGAGCACCGGTGAAGAACGTCTGGCGACCGGCCAGCTTGGAATTGGACGCCAGGGCGCGGAGCCGCCGAAAGACGACGACGGCAACGATGAGCTCGAAGGCCCCGGCAGGACACCTCCAGACCGGGGCGACGCTGCCCAAACGAGCTCGACGAAGTGGCTTTGGTGGCCGCCTCCTGGCGAAGCTCCCGATCGATCCGGGACTGCATCGCCTCATAGTAAGAGCCGTCGGCCGCTCGCCTGCTCCACGGTCTGCCGCCTGACCTCGGGCGAAGGTGTAGATGGCGTGACCGTGGTCATAGGCGGCGCCCCCTTTTCCGTGGGGCACTTGGCCGAGCGCGCCAAAGGCGGAGGTGGGGCTTTGGCGAAAGCCTTGCCTGTCTGCGCCTGTGCCTGCAGCTCTGGCGGCACGGCGGTGTAGTCGGTGGTGCTGGCGGGATACGACGCCGTTTCGGAAGCCGCCGGCGCAACCACACGCCTTGACTGGGCGTCGTCGTGGTGGCAGGCCGCATCCTGGCCCTGCCTGAATTGGCGAACTTCGGGGGCCAAAGGCCCTGTATCCACCGACGAAGTCGCCCAATGAGCCCAACCACGTGGCCGGTGGCGTTGTGCGAAGAAGCCGTCAGGGACGATGTCAAAGCCGGCGGCGCAGAGCTCGTCGGCGGCAAAGTCCCGGTGGAAGACGGCGGAGTCGATCCAGGCGGCGTATCATGCCCCAAAGTGGGCTGAATCAAGAGCCCAGCCGCAGTGAGGCGATTGAAATCAGCCGCGGAAAGCGCCCCAACAGCAGCCAACTGCTCGTTGTTGGCGTCGGCGATGAAGTTAGCGATGAAGATGTGGGCTTCAGTCTGAGTGCCCACGGCGACGTGGCCCGGAAGGGACGTCGGACCATCGCCCGGCCTGGCCTCGCTCAGAAGGGCGGGCGCCAAAATATGTTTCTCCTCTTTGCCCGAATGGGCGCCCTCTCCCGCCGTAATCGGCGGGGTCGGCGAAATAGTAGGCCCCGCCACGTCCAAACCAGAAGCTGCCGCCCACTCGGCGTAGGCAGCGGCGATGGCGCGAGGAGAGGCAACAGCCATGATGCGCTGAGAGGCGAGTGGGAGAGGCGGATCAAGTCGAGATTCTTCGGTCCATCGCTGACGCTCGTTCCTACTCACACACGTGTGCTACACAACAAAGGCTGACACCTTTTGTGGTGACCTTTTTGGGGATATTGGAGTGCCGTTGTTAAACTTGCAAGCTCCACCTTATCCTTGTACACACCATGCACTTCTGCAACTCGCGCATGCGACGGTCCATTCCTACCAAGGATCTCTGGCAGAACGTCATGAAGATGGCAGCTCCAGCCTGTTCCCATGAAAGTTACGCTCTGCGCTCTTTCCGGAGAAAGTAGGACTGTGCTCCTGAGTGCTCCTGGACCTGAAAAGCCTGTTCCTGACAAAATGGACTTACTGTTTTAGCTGCCGTTTGGACCTAATCATCAGCAGGCGGCCATTGCAGACCTGTTGCGTTGCTCTTTGACGAGGCAAGGAGCAGAAGATATGGCTCCGGAGATAACAGACACACCCATCTTGGTCACCTCCAGTTGGGAGCAGATGGGCATGCATTTGTCTGAATGTAAGAGCCGGGCCATGAATTGCACCCGGTCCTCATGCTGTGGCAAACGCGAAAAGGAACAGCGCCCGCAAGGCAATTCGTCGCTCCTCTCGGCTCTCGTCGGGACACTCCAGGTAAGCGTCGCCTGCACGCAGGACACTCGCAGGATCTCGGAGGCGTGTGCGCGGCCGCGGGAGCACCGGCTCGTGGCCTAGGTGGATCACGTAGTCGACGGAGAGGCCGATTACCATCACGTATATGATCGCCTCCGACACACTGGTCTTCCAGTCCATGCAGACGGCAAAAGCCAGCACGGAGGAGACCTCAGAAGGGCTGACACCACTCATCCACATGAAACCGTGGCAAGAAGTCCACACTGTAAGACCCTGGCAATGGCGACGATGCATGAGACAGAGATCAGAGCGAGGAACACATTCTGAGTTGCTCCGAGAAGCACTAGGAAGGCCAGAAACCTAAGACAACGCTCGGCAGGTGCTAGTGGAGCTTCTGTTGCGACCTCATACTTTCGATTTTCGAGTGCGCAGCAGAGAAAGTTTGATACCATCGAAGACTTCAGAGTTCATCGCGTCCTGCACCTGGAACCAGTGGAATGCAAACCTGAGCGAGTGACAGCGCTTAATCCGTTACCACCTTAAAAAACTGAGAACATAGCCCATGGCATGGCTTCAGAGGTTATTCCAGTTGCTGAGTCTGCTGAAGGGCATGTCCGTAGCGAAGATAGCCTTCGGCAACTTTGGCATCATGTCCTCCACCAGTCAGCTTCCATTCGAACACCGTGCTTTCGAAACGCTCTCCGATTAGCAAAGCTCAGCACTCCTGCTTTGCTTCTCTTGCAGCAAAATCTTGAACGAACCTGCACAGTTGCATGGGAATAGCTTCGGACTCCATTTGCGTGACTCGCTTCTGCTGTATCCAGGAAGCTTGTCCCAATGGCGGTTGAGCTCAATTCCGTCCTCAGGCAAACTCTCCATCACGCCTGCTGCTGGAAAATGAAGTTCAGACTCCGCATGCTGTTTCGCCAAGCAACCAAGTAAGGGATCTGCCAAGTCGTCTTCAATGCCACTTCAATGACAATGGCACGGAGGACGAGTTCGCCATCTACACGGTCAAAGAAAACCTGAGCCAGAATCACTCGAGGACCAAACCACGAAGAGGAATTTGGATCGGCAGGGACTGAGCAGAAGAAGGGATCCCATCACAAGGGCAAATGGCTGGTTCGAAGATCTGCGGCACACCGTAACAGCACGGTCAGAATACCTGACCTCTTTGTGCAGCCACCTGCCGGTACAGCAGAAACCTGGTGTGCACACGGTGTGACAGCAGTCGGCAAAACTGCCTCGGGCACATATACTGTACTGTCCGCGCAAGTATTTCTAAATTACAACACAGAAAGCAGCACTCAAGATCGAGCATTCGTGCTCAGAGGAACGGTGATTTCCAAGTGATCTTCTGCCGACGTCAAGGCAACTCCGGCCGGGCAGATGCGCACTGTCTGGCAGCAGCTAACATCGGCAACAAAGCACACATGCGCGGCCAGCCAGTTCTTCACCGGTCATCAGCAAATTGTCAGCCGGGCCGATCGAGACTACGGAAAGGGGCACTTGCGGCAGAAAGCTACGCACGGAAGCTGCAGACAACATGTCGGGGCCTTGAGCAGAACACCAAGTCCAAGCGATCATGCAGCCGCGTGAGCTCGGGTTTCTTCAACTGTGAAAGCCTGCTATTTGCGCCCAAGAGACCTCATCCTGGAAGAATTCCATGTTGCGCTGCCCCGATTGATACATCCTGACTGGCAGCTGGTGGTCGCCCAAACTCAGTCTGCAGCTGAGCGGAGCTGAGCGGAGCTGAGGCACTTGTTCGAAGGAGGCATTGGCGACGAGAGAAACTTCACGAAGTCTGAGTCCGCCCCACAACAGAAGTTGCCTCAAGCAGCTCCATGCCTTGCCTTGCCCACGGCACTTGTGTTGCCGACAAGCATCTGGAAGGAAACTCCTGACTCAGAACTGAGCGATATCGCAATCTTGCGGTGCACTCGAACACTCTCCTTGCGCTCTTCAGCTCCAGCGGTGTGTTTGGCCGCCGCGTTCATTGTGTTCTCGGCCACACCGTGCCATGAACGCACCCGTCAAACATCTCGCATACGACGGTGGCACATCGACGCAAGCAAGTAAGCAGGTGACAATCCAATGCTCGAAGTCACGGAAAACCTCAGAGGCCAGAACATGTTCTCGACATGTTCACCACGATGTTGTTGCTAGCCCGGTTGAAGCCTACACTCGCGACTCGCAAGGAACCCTCAGCCAGCGACACATTTGACTGGAGGCAAACCGGCCAGATCTTCTGCAGAAGCTACCCGAAGGAACGGGTACTCGCCTTACAAACGACACTGGAAGACGTGAAACACTGGGACATGTTTATCGTTTCACACCACGTTCGGGAGTCTTCGGCAAGAGATTGTCCTGCTCTCCATGGACTGAATACAACCCGTAGTCTCTGTGCACGTGTTGCAGAAGTGACTGAATTGGGCATGCGGTGCGACTTGTGGTATTTTTGTCTTCGAACCATCGCAAAGCTTGGAACTATGCCGGAAACGGGACTGCTGTTCATCTCGACATGTTGTGCATCTCGACATGCACTGGCTGTGGCTCTGGGAATCTGTCGTTGGTGCTCGGAGAGCCGGGACTCGTCTCCATCCCATTCGGAAGCATCCTCCAATATTTCCTTAGCAGTCTTGCATCGCTGATGTGTTCTCAATAGAAAGGTGGAGGCAGGATTGGCGTCGTGCTGTTGGCATAGCGGAAGCAGGTGGCTGCCGACTCGCAAGATTGAGCTTACTTCAGACCCATGGCACCTGCGCGACATGCAGTAAAGCCGAGGACCAGTTCGGAAAGGAAGGTTTCTATCAGGGGTAGCCTCATCCAAGGCCTGCACGGCCACTGCAGGGTACTTGATTACGAGAGCACACTTCAGTGTTTCGCTGCGTGCAAGCCCGTTCCACGGAGGTTCTTTTTGTACGCTGGCCATGCGCACAGCCTGTGTCATAGCACGACAACGGACTCCATCGTGGTTGACGAAACAATATCATACCCAAACCGCTTCGAGCGCCACTGGACCTTCAGGAGTTTTTTGTTAGAGCCGGCGTTCGCGAAGGGCATACACTTGACAGCTTTGCTACTGAAGGCGAGGAACTTCCCGGCCAAAGGGTGGTTGTGGTGAGCGTCCGAATTGGTGAATCTTCGATGTCGACGAGTCGACGGCTGCTCTGCCTGGATGTCTGGGTAAGTTGGCCTTGGCAGCTTACGTGTCTCCGAGCTGTGCTGGAAGGCTCGGGGTCCGCAATCGATTTGCAGGCAACGATGCACCATGCAAGGCCTTCCTGATCAATTGCAGAGCAACTAGGAGCGCCATCGCAGTGCTACATGCGGGAGCTTGCACGTATCTTGGTGCTTGGCGTGCAGATTGCCCATCATTGGAAGGATTCAGACTTGCATCGAGACGCGGTCGCATTGAGCGCGATTGATTGACCCGACCCCCGCTGTTCAACGTATTCATCAGCTTCGAGGCAGATTCCGACCATTGTGAATGGCGCACCATGCGAGAGGTGAATCAGAGCGCCTTTTATGGCCAATGGATGCAGTCGGTTCTTCCGAAGGGCCTAGGCCTAAGAGTGGCTCCGTCGTGATTGTGTCTGATGATCAGCAGGCCATCGAGCAGATCTGGTGCCGTCTGTTGCACCTGAGACTTTGCGGCTTGCAGGCGGAGAACGCGCAACTTAGGGCGCTCGTGATTCCGCAACTTCGCAGGCTGATTTGGTTTGTTGAAGAGTCAGAGGGCCTGGGAGCTGAACTCGCGGAGGAATGCAATGGATGCCGTATGCGGTCAACGTTCCAGATCTCCCATTGCTCGATCCACGCGGCGTGCAGAGCCGAAGGAGCCGACACAACGAGGGAGGCCCACGACACCTCTTCGCGCAGCTGAGACCCCCGCTCAGACTTCAGCCGCCTGATGGACCACCGCCGGTTTGAAGGCGTTTGCCCATGGAGGGCAGCCAGGACGATGGCACATGCAGTGCGGAGGAGACCATGTTGGCTCCAGGCGTTCAGGAATGCCTTTAGGCCCTGAAGAAGCATCGTACACCTAGAGCCATATAGAGCCATCAGCACATGCCACCACAACGGTGAACAAAGTCAGAAGCTCTACTAGAGGGAGTTGGCTTTCACACGTGCACGTGACCGTTGGATGACCCACCGGCGTGTGTGGTTCTAGTCAGGCAGATGCGCCGCTCCTGTTTTGGCCTGCCAGCTTCCTGCAAGTTTGTTGTCGGTGCGTCCAAGCTAAGACAGCTTCAAAGAAACTACCAGCAGCTTCTGCCCTGGTGGCCGCAGCGACAAGCTGAGCCACCAGAGGCAAAAGCGCCCAGACCACAACTTCCACGCAGAGCAGAAAAACAGGCGGTAGCCGGTCCACTTCCACACACCACTCACCCCTTGCTGGAGCAAGCGCCTTTGCGGTCTGAGAAAAGGTAATACCACGCCGTAGTTGGGATCCTGCTGCCGATAAAGAAACTTGCCTTGTCGAGGACAGAGCCGAAACACAAGCTGGATTCCTCGATGAGCATCCGTGTCGAAGGTAACAGAGAGGGCAAGTAGGTTGTGGCCTCGACCTCTTGAAGATAGATCTCCATCACCTTCATGGACAGCCAACGGCCGCGACGGCGGACAAGGTCTGGGCTTTCAGTTGCCTGTAGCATCCAGGTGGCCCCGCCGGGGCGAAACGAAGACAAATCGAAGTGAGCAGCGCCTTTGTTGTCGACCAAACCAAAACGGCTTTGTAGTTCCCCAAACAGGAACTGTTGGGGTCCTCTCCTCAGAAGAAAAGGGAACGCGCCTAGCGAGATGGGTGGCACGCGGCTCGGGAGCTGGGGGCCCGCAGAGGGCCCGCGGAGTTTGGATGGGTGGCGCACGGCTCGGGAGCTAAGGGCCCGGGAGTTTGGATGGGTGGCACGCACCTTGAGAGTTGGAGACCCGCGAGGTGGCACGCGGCTCAGGAGCTGGGGGCCCGCAAATTTGGATGGGTGGCACGCGGTTGGAGAGTTGGGGGCCCGCGGAGTTTGGATGGGTGGCATGTTGGATGTGCACGCCACTCGGGAGCGTGGGCGCTCGAGTTTGGATGGGTGGCACGCGGCTCGGGAGTTGGGGGCCCGCAGTTTTGGATGGGTGGCACGCTGCTCGGGAGCTGGGGGCCCGCGAGTTTTGGATGGGTGGCACGCGGCTCGGGAGCGGGGGCCCGCGGAGTTTGGATGGGTGGCACGCGGCGAGGGAGTTGGGGGCCCGCGGTTTTACCGCTCCAGTATTGCAATCAGTAAAGGAGCAAATTGACCCCAAGCCTCTACTGCGACCGCACCAGTGTTGCAGAGAAAGAGAAACTACAATTGCTACGACCGCTCCAGTATTGCAAACAGCACAGGAACAAATTGACCCCAAGCCTTTACTGCGACCACACCAATGTTGCAGAGAAAGAGAAACTACAAGTGCTACTGCTACGACCGCTCCAGTATTGCAAACAGCAAAGGAGCAAATTGACCCCAAGCCTTTACTGCGACCGCACCAGCGTTGCAGAGAACGAGAAATTACAATTGCTACGACCGCTCCAGTATTGCAATCAGCAAAAGAGCAAATTGACCCCAAGCCTTTACTGCGACCGCACCAGTGTTGCAGAGAAAGAGAAAGTAATTGCTACGACCGCTCCAGTATTGCAAACAGCACAAGAACAAATTGACCCCAAGCCTTTATTGCGACCGCACCAGTGTTGCAGAGAAAGAGAAACTACAATTGCTACTGCTACGACTGCTACGACCGCTCCAGTATTGCAAACAGCAAAGGAGCAAATTGACCCCAAGCCTTTACTGCGACCGCACCAGTGTTGCAGAGAAAGAGAAATTACAATTGCTACGACCGCTCCAGTTTTGCAAACAGCACAGGAGCAAATTGACCCCAAGCTTTTATTGCGACCTCACCAATGTTGCAGTGAAAGAGAAACTACAATTGGTACTGAGGAACTGCAACCGCACCAGTGTTGCAGAGAAAGAGAAACTACGGGGACACCGCGACCATATCGCTAGTCAGTGGTATGACACCATGGATCCTCAAAGGACCTGAATCGCACACTCGAGCACTGATGCCCCCCCATGCTTCTGTATATAGGCGTGTTTGTGTTGGCTCAAACCCTCCCTCCCAACCCGCCCCCCGCCCTCCCCGGTTCATGGGGTTGCGGTTTGCGTGTGGGGGTGGTTTCGTTTCAGGGTTTGGTTTAGGGTTTAGGACTTAGGACATATTTGCCTAGGCCCGTTGAAGGGGGAAACCAGGCATAGGGTTTCGCCGAGGTCTTCAATTTTGTAGGGAAACCCGGCATAGGGTTTATAGGTCCTTGCTCCCCAAATTTTAGGGGAAAGCGGGCTAGGTCGGATTTAGGGCCCAGCGTTTAAACTTTAGTTTTATATTTTTTTCGGTCCCCTAATCAGGGGAAGCTGGGCTTAGGGTTTAGGTTAGTGCTAGGTTAGGTTGTTTCCCCGACCAGAAGTGCCCCCCCACCTCCAAGCATAATGATGTCCATATCATCCATGGCCCCACATTGATGACATCCACGCTGGATTTTCCAGCCGGTCCAGTCAGCAGGTTCCAACATGTTCCAACTGTGGAACATAATGCCAAAATTGGAACTTGCACGCGCTCGCTCATGGAGTACTGAATGCCAGGGTGCGTATGTTCCAACTTTTTGGCGTCCACTGTATGTGTTTTTTGATATTTCCAATGGAAAAGCATTCAAAATAGCAAAACCTTGATTTGTAATTACTTGCGATTGAAGGCCATCATGTTAACAGCTTCGATAAACGTGCTTTGGAAGAGCCATTGCCTCTTCTCTTGCTTCGACGCAGCACGACATCTGCTCTTAATGGGCAAGGAGAGCTATCCGAATGTATTTTTCCAGCCCTCTAAAATGCATTTGGGCATGTGTCTTTGTGCTGTGGGCTTGTCGGAAACCGCCAAAATGCTCGTTTGATTTTCGAAAATGCTCTTGTGTTTCTATGATTTTCCTTAATGAATATCGCATAGAACCTTAGATTCCGCGAAACCGACAAAGCCCAACTTAGCCGTCGGTGGAAAGCCACAGGCAAATGCATTTTTCCAGCCCTGAAAAACGCATCTGGCTTGGCACGGATGCTTTTGCAATAGTCGTCAGTGTCCAGGCACCAATCTACTTTCGATTTTTGGCTTTAGTTTCGTGGTCTTGCCTTGTCATGAAGCCTAATTAAAATGCAAGGAGAGCTATCCGAATGCATTTTTCCAGCCTCCAAAATGCATTTGGGCATGTGTCTCTTTGCTGCGGGCTTGTCGGAAACCGTCAAAATGCTCGGTAGATTTTCGAAAATGCTCTTGTGTTTCTATGGCTTTCCTTAATAAATATCGCATAGAGCCTTAGATTCCGCGAAACCGACAGAGCCCAACTTAGCCGTCGGTGGAAAGCCACAAGCAAATGCATTTTTCCAGCCCTGAAAAACGCATCTGGCTTCTCACGGATGCTTTTGCTATAGGCGTCCAGGCACCAATCTACTTTCGATTTTTGGCTTTAGTTTCGTGGTCTTGCGTTGTCATGAAGCATAATTGAACGATTCTCTTAGTCAGGAAAACGCGCGAATGCATTTTCCCGGGCCTGAATAATGC